TGGTCTATACCCTTTGCATATTTTCATACATAAATCCCCCAACATACATCCATACATTACACCCCCTCTCTCTCCCTCCTCCTTCCCTTTTATATTTTATTTCCCTTCCCTTCCCACCTCCTTCTCTCTCTCTCCCCCCCCTATCTCTCCACTTGTCCCGTCTATCCCTCCCTCCCTCCCCCTCCCCCCTAACTGTCTCTCCATTTCCCCTCACCTCTTTCTCCCTCTCCCCTTGTCCTGTCTCTCCCTCCCTCCCCCTTCCCCCTGACTGTCTCTCTCATCTCACCCCTCTCTCACTTTATCTCCCCCCCCTTCCCCATCTCTCCTCTCTGTCTCACCCCTCAGAAAGCATTACTTCCCCCCACTAGGTGCTGACATGTTTTACAAACTAACACCCACGGCTGACACTAGCTGCCCATCCCACTCTCCCTCCTTCCCCTCCATAAGATACAAGGCCAGTCCATCTCCGACCAGTGACACGTCATTACTGGGGGGTCGCTTCTTGTACCACTTCTTCAGCTCTCCTAATATCGGTAAATCTTCCCTCCAAACTCTAGCCAGAAACACTGAAAGGGCTTGAAAATTCCTCACACGAGAATTATTATTATTATTATTTTTTTTTTTTTTTAGTAAATAGCAAGAAGGGAGGGAGTGATTTATTGAAAGTTGGGGCCCCCAGCGTACAACCTAGAAAACAATAAACGGCTTTGGAGAAAAATGCTGGAGAAGAGATAGTGGTTTATTGATGGCATAGATTAAAAATAATAAAACAATTAAGAGAGATAGGGTTATTTAATGGGGTTTAAGGGATGGTTGTCCGATTAAACCTTAAAACGCACAGGTTTGTTTTACGACATTCAGGTAACTCAATACCCATTTTTATAGTGGTAATTAGTTTTTAGAGAGACTAACTCTTTTCACATATGACACTCTTCGTTACCTTAACATGGCCAAACTTTAACTAAATTATAATTAATTATTTAGGTTAGGTTAGGTTAGCAGTTTTATTACCGGTATTTATGCTTCTTATATATAGATAAATTCAAATAAAAAAAAACATAGAAAAAACTTTGAAATTATCAGTGTCTCAATTACCCCTAAAACACCTGACAGGTATACACATAGACACAGATATGAGTCAATTGGGTCAGTTATCACACAGGTGCTTTACCACAACCGTTGACTCCACTCATTCATAAACTGATATTGAGAGCCAAGTTGAAAACGTTTACAGTTGTCATAAAATTCGTATTATATTGAAACGGAAAATTAAGTCTTATTGGATAACAACATTTTTATTTCTCTGGCTGGGTTTGTTAAAGAGTTTGAGCCCAATACGAGTTCCGCATATGGGTGTGTGTTTGAACGTATTTCTAGACAAAACTTACCAAGTGAAATTCAGTCGTAAATGTTTAAGAATTTATTGATCCAGTTAAAACTATTTATATAGTATATGAATGAAAACAGAGTAATATGCAGTTTTTATCACCAGTGTACCGGGATAACAGCACAGCCTCCGGGAGACTAATGAACCAACAATATACAAGGGAACATCTGGCCCGAATGCCACCGTGTGCTCCTCCACAGTGAACTGTAATAACAAGAGACCATGTTGACGCTGGGGGAATATGATGCCTCAGGCGGCTCGGGGCACCATTGTCTTTTATGCAGTATGCAAATTTGTGTGTTGTATAGATATATAACCGGTATAAATGTCCTTCTTGTTGGTTATTGTCGATATTTGATGACGTGTATGACATAAATAAACAGATTCTGCGACATTTGATAAGATTATGATCACTTTGTCTGAGATCAATGTCTTCTTTACCCGAATGAACAATATTACGAGATCCCTCACTGAGACGGTCTCCTCGCCATCACACACATCTCTTTCTCGCTTTTATTCCAGGCTACTCGAAACAAGCGTCCTCTGCAAATGAAATATATCACAAGGTAGTCCATGCAGGTGATAATTACCACTAATTGAAGAGCGGTATTCTCTCCAAGGTAACACGCGCTACAGTGTTCGCTGCCCCACTGTGTATTATGTGTGAATTCTCTCAGTATTTTTAAAGAGTCGAACAAAAAATATAAAGTAGATGGAAGAAAAGAGATAAAAGAAAAATATAATAATAATATGAAGAGGAAACAACTCAATATAACTCCGAACGTCAGTGAAAGTTTAGTAGTAGTTGACTTGTCCTGGTGACCTTCCTCTCAGGCTAACTTTCCACACCAGTTTACTTAACGTTTTAGTTGTCTTAAAGTGAACACGTTTGATAGCCAGGGAAGTTATGGAAAGAGGCATTACTTTGGTGGGTGCAAAAAGCTCTAATTTCCTTGTCGTACACACACACACACACACACACACACCTCGCGCAGTCCGCCACTACAACAAAATTCAGCCCATTAGAGCCCGCACTGACAGATATAAGAATAGCACCATCCCATCTATTGTTAAAATAATAAACAACTCCTGGTTTATGTACTGTACAGCCCTGTAAATGTATTGAACGCATATCATTATGTCTAAATCATATGTAAGTTTGTATATTTTCAGCCATCGGCTGCAACTCTATTAATAAACCGTTTACTATTATTATTATTATTATTATTATTATTACACACACACACACACACACACACACACACACGCACACACACACACACAGTCCCTAATCCTGGTCCAAGCTTATTCGAACCCAATCTCCCTATCCCGACCTTATAATATTGTCAGCTTGAGACTACAACTTTTAGCTTAAACCGTATTATTTACAGCCTTAGCCACATGTTTCAAGCTTGAACGTGATATTTTCAGCTCAGATCTTCCAGCCGTCTGCCCTCTCCCTCATTGCAGTACACATGTGTTGGTCGAGAGAACTAAAATCCCATCTTAACTTGATCCGGTAGGCAAGGGGAGACAACCTCAAGAGGGAGGGAGGGACACGGTGTCATGACGCAGCAGAAGGAAGAACGAGAGCCCGGGTACGATGATGAATTCCTACCTCTCAAAATAGAAAAAACATTAAAAGACCTGTGTTCTCTTTTAAAAGACTTATAGTGAAGTTGTTGGCATCACCTGATAACTTCTAGTCTACGCTTACTGTTCTCAGGCAAGGGGTACTGTGTCCTCGACCACTAGGGAACAACAACGGAAGGGCAATCAGAGAACAGTGGCGCCACGGACGACAACAATTACTCCACATAAATAATTAACTCCTCCCCAAGTGAATTTAGTCCCGAGCTTTATGTTGTTTGACGTTAAGTTATTTAGGACACTTAATAATTTCTAGACTACAGGTAAGCCTAATGTCCTTAGCCAAGGCCTAATAAGTTCCCTTGGTTACTACGAAAGGAACATCCAGAGGATATGGGACCGCCCAGAAGCTCAGGAGTTCTTCCGCTCCATAAACTAGTCCTCACTCAGGCAAATTTAAGCCTGAGATTTATTCTACTTGATATCATGGTATTAAAAATGTGAGGCCACTGATGGCACGACCCTGAATTCTTGATCGGTGGGGCGTGTCTGGTGGCCCCAGGGACAAGAGCCAATGGGAGGGGATGACTCGTTACACCACGAGTGTACAGTATACTTCATTTACTTGGTAATTTTTCACGGGACAGACAGACAGACAGACAGACAGACAGACAGACAGACAGACAGACAGACGGACAGATGACACACACACACAATCACACACACACACACACACACACACACACACACACACACACACACACACACACACACACACACACACACGCATACACACACACACAGAGTCTAAGTTTGGTACAGGGACCAAATACAAAGTTATACCAAATACAAATTTTTATCATTTGAGTTTCTTCATCAATCAGATTTTAGTAACGTATTATCGGATTCATTTTAGTCTAGTAATGTTTTAAATTATCATACTTGTTGTATCCTGCAACCCCCATCCTGCCCTCATGAACCTCCCCATTCCCCAACGCACCACCGACCCTCCACTGCACCATCGACCCTCCACAGGACCACCACGACCCTCACTGCACCATCACGACCCTCCACAGGACCACCGACCCTCCACTGCACCATCACGACCCTCCACAGGACCACAACGACCCTCCACCGGACTACTCGACCCTCCACAGGACCACCACGACCCTCCTGGGACCACCGACCCTCCACCGGACTACCACGACCCTCCACTGCATCACCCACGACCCTCCACCGGACTACCACAACCCTCCACTGCACCACCACGACCCTCCACTGCACCATCACGACCCTCCACAGGACCACAACGACCCTCCACCGGAGTATCACGACCCTCCACAGGACCACCACTACCCTCCACAGGACCACAGCGACCCTCCACACGGACTATCACGACCCTCCACAGGACCACCCGACCCTCCACCGGACTGCCCACGACCCTCCACTGCACCATCACGACCCTCCACAGGACCACAACGACCCTCCACCGGACTATCACGACCCTCCACAGGACCACAACGACCCTCCACCGGATATCACTACCCTCCACAGGACCTAACGACCCTCACTGCACCATCGACCCTCCACAGGACCACGACCCTCAGCGGACTACCCACGACCCTCCACTGCACCACCACGACCCTCCACTGCACCATCGACCCTCCACAGGACCACCACGACCCTCCACCCGGACTACCCGACCTCCACTGCTACGACCCTCCACAGGACCACAACGACCCTCCCACTGCACCATCGACCCTCCACAGGACCACCACGACCCTCCAGCGGACTACCACGACCCTCCCACTGCACAGCCGACCCTCACTGCACAACCGACCCTCCACAGCACCACCACGACCCTCCCCACACCCAAAAACACCACCAACGCCCCTCCCAGTCCCTTCAACACACCACCACGACCCTCCCCACCTCCTAACATACCACCACGACCCTCCACCGCACCACCACGACCCTATACCCCGCACCTAGACGTCCCAGAAGAGTCGTGGGAGTCCCTGAGGTATCCCTTCCCTCTCCAAACTCCCTCCCAGACACGACATAACCGGCCTCTAAATTATATTAAGTTTCCTAGCTGGTCCCACTACTGTAAGGACACCAGACATGTTAGTAGGAAGGGGAGGGAGGGAGAGAGGGCGTGGAGGATGGTGGGGTGAAGGGAAGGCGTGGAGGATGATGGGGTGGGAGGCGTGTGGAGGATGGTGAGGTGAAGGGAGAGAGGGCGTGGAGGATGGTGGGGAGGAGGGAGAGGGCGTGGAGGATGAACAGGGTGGAGGAGAAGAGCGTGGAGGATGGTGAGGTGGTGGAGGGAGAGAGCGTGGAGGATGGTGAGGAGGAGGTAAGAAGGCGTGGAGGATGGTGGGAGTGGAGGGAGAAGGCGTGGAGGATGGTGGGGTGGAGGGAGAGGGGCGTGGAGGATGGTGAGGTGAAGGGAGAGGGCGTGGAGGATGGTGGGGTGAAGGGAGAGGGGCGTGGACATTGGTGGGGTGGAGGAGAGGAGCGTGGAGGATGGTGAGGTGGAGGGAGAGAACGTGGAGGATGTGGTGAGGTGAGGGAGAGAGAGTGGTGGGTGAAGGGAGAGGGCGTGGACGATGGTGGGGTGGAGGAGAGAGGGCGTGGAGGATGGTGGGGTGGAGGAGAGAGGGCGTGGAGGATGGTGGGGTGGAGAGGAGAGGGCGGACGATGGTGGGGTGGAGGGAGAGGGCGTGGACGATGGTGGGGTGGAGAGGGCGTGGAGGAGTGGTGGGGAGGAGGAGAGAGGGCGTGGAGGATGATGGGGTGAAGGAGAGAGAGAGGGCGTGGACGATGGTGGGGTGGAGGGAGAGAGGCGTGGACGTGGTGGGGTGAAGGGAGAGGCGTGGAGGATTGATGGGGTGGAGGAGAGAGGGCGTGGAGGATGGTGGGGTGAGGGAGGGCGTAGGAGGATTGTGGGGTGGAGGGAGAGGGCGTGGAGGATGGTGGAGTGGAGGGAGAAAGGAAGGGAGTGTGTGTGTGTGTGTGTGTGTGTGTGAGAAGAGAGAGAGAGAGAGAGAGAGAGGTGGGTGTATACTAAACGGGGAATAAAGAGACTTGGAGGCGAAAGAGAAGAGGAAGGGGGTGAGATGGTAGATATTAAATGAAGTGGAGGGAGAAGAGAATTGAGTTAAGAGAAAGAGAGAGAGGATGAGAGTGTAGAAGAAGAGGGAAAGAGGGGGGGAAGGTTGGGAGAAATGATAAGAAATGGTATCAGAGACAGCGAAGGTGCAGGAAAAGGAAGAAAACAAGAAGAGGAACGGATTGAGAGAGAGAGAGAGAGAGAGAGAGAGAGAGAGAGAGAGAGAGAGAGGATCCTAGCCAAAGCATGAGTGAGAAATGATCTTAATTACCGTTATTGTAACTGACCTTATGAAACAGCGAGTGAATGAGCAATTAAGCAAACGAGTGAATAGATGTGTTAATAAGTGACTAAAAGAGTGATTAAGATGGTAATTAATGAATAAGTGATTGTGTGAGTTATTTAGTTAGTGATTTAACAACTTAATTAGTGAGTGGGTGATTGGGTTTTTTTTAGTGTTGTGTAACGAGTGATTTAGAATGTGATTTGGTGAGTCATTTACTGTGGGATTATGGTGGTGATTTATTATGTGATTTAACGAGTAATTAGTGTGTGATTTAGCTTTTTTGTGATTTAGCGAGTGATTTAGTGTGTGATTTAGCTTTTTTTATTATGTGATTTAACGAGTAATTTAGTGTGTGATTTGGTGAGACATTTACTGTGGGATTATGCTAGTGATTTATTATGTGATTTAACGAGTAATTTAGTGTGTGATTTAGCATTTTTTTTATGTGATTTAGCGAGTGATTTAGAATGTGATTTGGTGAGTCATTTACTGTGGATTATGCTGGTGATTCATTATATGATTTAACGAGTAATTTAGTGTGTGATTTGGTGAGACATTTACTGTGGGATTATGCTAGTGATTTATTATGTGATTTAACGAGTAATTTAGTGTGTGATTTAGCATTTTTTTTATGTGATTTAGCGAGTGATTTAGTGTCTTAAATTATGTAGATGTAGCTCATTGGGGAGAGCCATAATTAATTGCTCACTTAACCAATGTGGACTCAAACATCTCGACAATCATTAGTTCTATCTTTATTTTTGTATATCTTTATCTATATCTATATTCGTATGAGCATCTATAGTTGAGTTGTCAGTAGAGGAATATAATACATGAAGGTGTAGACGTATAGTGAAGAAGGTAGTAAAATGTATATACTGTATAGTGTATATATGAGTATACAGGTAGATTTAGGTGTATATTATTTATCTATTTTAGTGTAGATGTACAGAATGAATTGTTGGTGTTGATGTATGCGTAGATGTCGGTGATTATTTAGAGTATAATGTATATAAATTGTATTACAGACACATATACAAACATTGAGACAGATATTACTATAAAAATCTGAATAGTTATGTAAACAAAATATCCTTGACATAGCATCAACTATTTTTCAACTCCATTTTTTTTTTCCGCTCTTGAATAATATGCAAATGAGAAAGGGGGCCCTCCGAAGCAGTGTAAATACCAGGGTTACGAAACTCGGCATTTTTTCGTGGTAACCAGGAACACAGAAGCCTTTATATATATATTTTTCTATTCTACTTTAGTTAAAAGGCAAAGGCACTAACCTCTATGTTGTTGAGAAAGAAAAACGAAACGACTAGAAATGTGAAACTGGGTTACATACGCATGACTACCTGTTATGTATAGTGTAGTTAGAGCATACACTTTATAATGTGTCTTCGGTATGCAAGGAGGTAATGAATTCGAACGACTTCATTTCCCCAACCCAGACGCCCATTTACAACTGGGTGGAAGTGTCGAGTTTTTGTCAAGATTATTGTAAGGAATTGATTATTTTGTTAGTCTCTAGTCTGATTGTTGCAGGAATCTGTCAATTTCAGCTGGTCGATGAGATTCCAAGACAATCCACTCGCGTCAGTCTGATAACATTACATAGTCGTGTTTTATTGTTTTGAACGACACACACACACACACACACGCACACACACACACACACACACACACACTTCCTTGTACAATAATCATCCTACACTTGGCAATAAACGAGAACATTATCAGGTACAGTTGTCAATGGTGCAACAGTGCGTGAGTTTATGCCACCTCATACCAGGGAGCCAAGAGAAAACCAGCAGAAAGCCACAAGAAAGCTAGCAAGAAATCAGTAGGAAGCCAGCAGGGAGCCACCATAAGAGAACCAACAGGGTGCCACAAGAGAACCAGCAGGAAGCCAGCAGAGAACCACAGGAGAACCAGCAGGGAAGACCTCCACCAATTTGTTTAATTAAAAAACTAGGCGTCACCTACAATATGTCACCCGGAGATAACAAGACCCCCACAAATTGCCTAAAGATGGCGGGGGTGAATGAGGGCTTCGTGAGGCGTATATTTCCCGGTCTAGCCCGACAACCGTAAATTCGTGTTGTGGTGGTGGTGGTGGTGGTGGCACAGGAGGCAAATACACCTCTGTCTTTCCCTCTGTCACTTTGCCCCCTGTACCTTGGCACCACAGGCCAGTTTTATCTTCATTTGATGCAGAGTTGATCTTGTAGTCGTCTCTCTCTCTCTCTCTCTCTCTCTCTCTCTCTCTCTCTTTCTCTCTCTCTCTCTCTCTCTTTCCTTCTCTTGTTCCTACCTCCCTCTCTTTATTTCTGTCTTTCTGTCAATTTGCCTTCTTGGCTGTCTCTCATCAGTTCTCATTGTCCGTTTTCGCTGCCTTTTCTTCCTCTGTCTTACCATTTATCTCTGTTCTCTTTCTCCCTCTTTGCTATTTGCCTTGTGCCCCCTCAGTTCAGTGTGTGTACATCTCCTTGTGTATGGCCTTAATTCATTTTCTTACGACCTTGGGGGTTTATTCATAACTAGTGATTACTCTCAGTAGATATTGATAAGTGCCATTATAGTGTCTGACTGGATTAGTTTTAATATTCTGGATATCTCTCATAGGAACTGTGTCACAGGTACTGTACTCGTTCAGAACGTCTTCCTCATCTTTGACTCTTATGTTCACACTGAGGTTTCTTACTCATTGCCATTAGAAACAGTGCCTCTCATTATTAAAGGGAACAGTGCCGCCATTTCCACTACATCAATGTTTACGGCAACAGCGACATTGCCTCATAATTCATGGCAATAGTATCACTAACTCACTGTTCAAAAAACCAGAGCCACTATCTATTACTTCACGGGAACTGTTCTACTCTCTCTTATAAATCACAGGATGAGTGCCACTGTCTCATGACTCATAAGAACAATTCAATAATATTTTACGAGTAGCTGAAAAAAAAACAAAAGTATTGTCCTTTATGTTCCGAGGAAGAATGCAGTATTTCTTGGTTAAGACGAACTTTCCAACGCCTCAGGATTCACAGAGCCATTTTATACAGATATAACGGAATAGATCCACCGCCCTAAGAATCCTAAGGATTAATGCCACAATTGTCTCTTGTCCTCAGGAACATTGTCACAAGAACAGTGCCATTCATGTGACTTGTGACTCATAGGAACAGTGTCAGTAGGACATATCTTATAAGTCACGGGAACAGTGCCACAATCTCATAATAGGACTAACACGTCTTCTGTGAATTGTAAGAATAGTGTCATTACAGAGGGCACAGGTGTATCTCCTGATGACTCACAAGAACCGCCCCACTATCTCATAACAGTGCCACCAGCGCGTTCCTCGTGACTCACAAGAACATGGCCACTATCTCATAACAGTGGCACTAGCGCATCTCCCGTGACTCACAGGAACACTGCCAGTATATTCCGCACAAAACCATAATCATTAGTCTCAAATTCTTTATAGGCTTTCACGCCGCTCGTTTTCATTTGCAATAAAATGTTTCCTCTCAACATAGATTCACGATTTTATTGGACACGAGCAGCGACTTGTATTTTATACTTCAATAAATACGACTCCCTTATTTTTTTT